TAATTGTAGTCCAGGCACAGAAGTTGTGGACTATAATTAACCCCATTTTACTTATATACTAGTGTGGCCAATTTTTAATTTCTGACCATGTTGGGCGGTAAAATATGTATTTATACCCCATGTTCAGCTTCCAGAATTTCAGACCCTGATGACCATTTTGTTTGGGGGATTTAATTGATATGTGTACATCCAAACAAAGTTATACATGTAATTTGATTTATGAAGCAATTCAGGCAACAGCTTCATGTGTTCAAACATCCTCAAGATTGTGGTTACTTAAAATGGACGATTCAGATAGTGGTCTTTTCTTTGGCATGGCATCCTAAACTTGATCTTGCTGAGTATGAAATTAGTATAACTGAATATGAAGGGAAATCAATAAAATTAATACCATTGTTAAATCAGGCAGTTACTAAATGCCTAATTTTATATCATAATATTGATTTTCTGCCATACCCACCAAATACTAAATTCTTTAATCTATTTCTAGGATTCAAAACCAAACATCTAAAGATTAATTATGATTTCATAAATCCAATTATCTGGCATATAGAAAACGTCTGGTGAGGACAAAGTACTTTCTGAATTGGTTAGCTTATCTTATCCAATTTCCAGAAAAAAACTGGTACTGTTTTAATATCATGATCTCCTTGTTCTGGAAAAAATATCAGATCTTGGAAAAATATTAGGAAGATTTAATAGATATATTCAAAAGTTAATCACTTGCCAAAAAATTTCACTGACCCAAGGTCAGTAAAAATTCTCAATCATATTCACATGACATCATTATGATTATATATGTGAAATTGAGCTACCAGGGCTAGCTTTATTAATGTGGTAAAAATAAAAATAAATTTTCAGATATTAATAAAAAATATAAAAAATGGATCAATCTGGACAATGTATGGGACATCCAATACATGAAGGTAATAGTCCCACATCATAGTAAAAAAGTGCCAGTTGGTACCATTAAAGGAATTTCTAATTATTTTACTTTCATGTGGCCATCTGGTGACAAAGATGGATATATATAGCAGCATATGAATACCAAATTTTTGGGAAATCAAAAAATATTCAATTTTTGATATTAAAAACTTCTGAAAAAAATAATAATATTAATCAACCAACACCTCAATCAGAATGGAAAACATCTGTTCCTTCAGAAGTTGACCCATTAATTCAAAAATTGTCTGTTCCTGAAGTAAGGTTGAAGCTTCAAGAGAAAAATTTGTATTTCACTAGAAATAAATTATACAGTTATCTCGTTTCAGACAATAATTTTCTGTTGTTAAATAATATGAATTTGAAAAACCTCTTGGATGAAAAATTGGAACCTGTATTTGCTCTAAAGAGTATGGGAAGAAAGGTGGTAAGAAGTTTGATTTAAATGCGATCAAACAATTAAAAATCATGTTTTTAGCTGGTAATATAGAAAAAAGGAAAAAATACTCTCTCGAGGATATGTTAAAAGAACTTCAAAGACTTGTTGAAACTGACGAAATAGAAGCTGAAAATAATCCTTCTCCTCAACATCACAAAAGACAGGCGGTTGAAAATACATCATCTAATTAATAAGTAAAAAAAAATTTCTTTATTTGTTATTTTTGAAAACAATAAATCGTATGTTTTTAATAACTACCACCGTTACACGGAACATGTAAAAATTTTTACTAAAAAATCTACAGGTGCTAAAGAGTAAACTTTTTTTTTTTACTTAAGTAAAGACAAAAAAGAAACTGATAATATGTTCTTTGGGATTTGTTTGTGGACGTAAAAAAAAATTATGTTATACTAAAATTCTTCCAGACTGAATTAATTTGACCAATATCTGATGATATTAATGATCCAACAACAAACCAACTTCCTCAGATAGTTGCTGCCCTCAACCTAAATGATACAATACCTATTCAAGAATATTTGAATAATCCAGAAGAAAAAACTGTATTGATGGTTTCGATGAAGATGATAGTGCTGAGCAAGTATTGATAAGTACTAGTGAAGCTTTAAAAGACTTGGAAATTGTCCGCACATTTTTATTACAACAAGAAAATTCTAGTCAACAAATAAAACTGATTAATTCTCTTGATAGATATATTAGTTTGAAAACAATAAATACAATGAGGCAAACTACAATATAATCTTATCTTAACCAATAATTATATAAAAATTTTTTTTAGTGATAATATTATAGTTATAATTAATTAATAAATTTTTATTTTTACGACTGTTTTTTTTTTAAAAAATTCGTGTAAAAATTTTTATTCTTTATTGGTGTCATGTGCAACCAATGAAATGCTTTGTTTCTCTGAGTACACGCTATCGCTAATTCCCGAGGGGGGTGCACTTAGAGGGAGTTGACTGTAATGATAAATAATTAATATGTACGTGTTTGTCAATCAAACAACAATTCTTTTTTCTCTTCGAAAAAATGTATAGACAAAGCAAAAGTAAAAATAATACATCCGGAGAGATTGTCAGGTAGTGTTTATTAAAAGAATGATGGTTATTGCCACTTGTCATCACTCTAGTTAATATTAATATAAAAAATAATGATAACTCAAGTTGAATTTTTTGCATGTAAAACCTTACATCCAACCAATTAATTAATTAATAAAAAGAACATGTAAAAACAGAGTTCTACTTAAGAATTTCGAATCATATGCAAATTTCTAAAAAAAATTAATTGTGTATATTTTCCCATATGTATTCTAGTATATAGGTTCTTTTTCATAAGTTGAAAATTTTCCGTAAATGAAATCTTTTAAAAGCTAAGACAATTTACGTTATTTTATTTTTACTATTTTATTTTTTATTTTTTCTTTTTGAGTTTACTCGATTCCTCTAAGAGAGAAATTTTCAATTAACTGTTAAGCATTCTAAATGAAATTTCTTTACCTTTACACTTTATTTCTAATAGTTGTTCTTTTATCGACTGCGCAAGCTGTTGCCATAATTGTTAGTAATGATACAGGTAAATTATTAACTATCGACTGCACTTCAGGAGATGACAATATTGGTTTGAAAATTTTACAGAAATTTACAAATGGAGTTTCAATCCTAACATATTTGGCACCACCTTTTTCTATTGTGATTGTTCTCAAGGTGCTATCAAACTACACTTCAATGCTTATTATAATGGACTTAATGGTGATATCATTTCATGGAGCGTAACCCAAATTGACAGAAAACTCGTAGCGAATAAAAAATGAAGTTATGTAGAATTATTTAAAAAGTTTTAGAAATTATATAGCAGAAACTTTTTATTATCTACATAGGCAACCCCGTTAATCCGAAAACCTCGTTAAAATGAATAATTTTTAAAACACCAAAGCCAAACATATGTAAATTACCCCGTTAATATGAATGTCACTAATAAAACTTTATAAACCGTAAACCGAAGAAATTTTTAAGTTTTTTGAAGCCATTTATATGTAAAATTGCCCCGTTAATCCGAATTTTTATAAACCGAAGTGAAATAAAAATTGGACCAATAATAATAATATACAAGTCATACAAATACATATGTATGTTGTATTGAAATCTATAATTAAAATTTTGGGGTGGAGTGTTTGTAGATGAAATTCTGATTGGCTAATTTGAATATGTGCAAATTCATTTTCACGCAACATGTACAAAAATTAATAACCAGGGTAGAATTTCCTCTAGTGCAAACAAGAGGAAAAAAAAACTACTGAAGAAGTTGGGGTATCAAAAAGAAAACATACGCCAATAACAAACTCACAAAAAATATAAATATGCATTGAAAAAAATAAAGACCAAACATAAAAAATAACCAGCTTGCATCTAAATATAATGTCAGTAAATCTACTGTTTCTGAAATTCTAAAAAAGAGCGATTATTTTTTATCATTGAATCCAAATCAATTCACTGCCAGAAAATGGATAAAGGAAATTCTAAATCCTAAATTTTTAGATTTATTACCCCGTTTATCCGAATTAATTTATGACTCTAATAATAACTTCGGATTATAAAAAAATCCCGTTAATCCGAAGAAAAGTTCCTGCACAATTGCCTTCGGTTTAACGGGGTTGCCTATGTATTTGATTTTTAAATAATATCAAGTATTATTAATATCATTATTATGTTTACAAGTTTACATGCATGTAAATTATTATTATTATTTTTTGTATCAATAAAACAATGACCATTTTGACTATATTTCACAAGGCCTTTTTTGTATATATTTGAAAAGAGTGTTGGGTTAAGTGCTTCACTTCTCATTGAAACATTTCAAAAAAACTTAATCAATTAACTGGTTAATTAAAGAAGTTGTAATTTCAAATTACAATTTCAATAATTTTCTGTAATAGTATCGCATCAGGAAACTTTTGAGCTTAAGGATCCCACCGAAAGTACATTTTATATCAAAATCTATATAAAATCTTTACCTTTTTAGTAATATTCCCCAGCGAAAATTTCAAATCGGTCAGTGATTACATTTTTTCCTGGCAATCTATAATGTAGCTATACATTTAAATGGATGCGTGATTTAGGTAAAAAAGTTATCATCAAACATCCAATCCGAAATTGATTTATTATGACAGTGAGTTTCCCGAACTTGAGACTGAGAATATGAAATTGAGACAGGGGAGAATGCCAGGCACAAAGCTGAGAAGGCCGAGCTTAAAGCCGGAGTAACAAAATTAGGGCAATGTGTTTGGTTTGTGATTTATTTATAGATTTCTTTTTCTTCTCTTTTTCCTCAGTATTTTTTTTTTCTCCTTAGTTTTGACACCCTTGTGGGTGTGGTCCTCATTTCACTATATCAGCAATTAATCAAGAATTGTTAAAATACCAGACAACACTGAATATAGTTATCAAGATAAATCAAGTAGCAAGCAATAGATAAGTCTCTCTCAGTTATCTAACTTATTTATACTGTTGCTCAATTATCTTATATGGGGATGATTATAAGCCATTATACTTATTTATTAATATAATTACAATAATATGTTTTTATTTATTGTTTCACTAGTCAATCATTCACCTCCTTCTTTAACTACCAATACATCTTCTTTCTCCAATCCATCACCTTCTTTCATTAAACTTCCTTCCTTTTTCATCAAGCCTTCTTCCTCTTTCACCAAACCTTTCCCAAATAATCTTTGAAAAGGTTTAAAATTTCCTTCATTTGTCCATTGTTTAGAGTTATCGTCATCAAATATAGCAAAAGAAATATGTTTATAAGTTTGTGGTAAATTTTCACCATTACCGAAATACTCATTCATGATAACTTCATGAAATAATTTTGCTATGGTTGATGGAGGATTGCTGAATGCTCCACAACCAAATGCACTCAAAACAATTGAATCATGATCTAAAAAAATTTAAAAAATTTAAAAAAAGTAATTCTATTAAAATCAGAAATTTTTTTTTACTTACTATTATCCAATCCAATATTTAAAATTGTTCTGATTTTTTGTTTGGTTATTGATTTATCCATATCTTTTAAAGTAGGTCCTCCATAATTATCAGGATCTTCTACAAGATCTGGTCGACATAATGCTGCAACCGTCTAGTGAATTAACAATAATTGAATTGAGATAACTTGATTTAAATCGATTAAAAAAATTAATATTTGCTCACAACAAAAGACATTGTTTCTGGAATTTCTAATAATTGATATCCTTCTTGTTCATTAGCTTTGATTACAGTTGCATTTGGACAATAAATACCATCAAATATTGGAATTGGATACCAATCATCTCTTCTTGGTTCAAGATATTGAAATAAATTAGTACGACGAAATAAATTTTCTTCCTGAGCTCTTGCACCATATTTATAACCTAATAGTAATAATGCTGTTGTTTTGAATACTTGCAACAAAATAATTTAATTTTTTGGATTTAAAAGATATTTTCTTTACCTCCACCAGGATGATCAGCATTGGCCATATTTAGCACTAATGGATTGTATCCTTTTTGTTTTAAATCTAATGCATGACTTAAACAATCACCATTATAAATTTCAACATTAGGAATTTCTTGTTTTTCCTTAATAATTTTACGTACTATTTTAGAACCATCATTATAAATATTTGCTTTAGATATTTCTTGTTTAATGTTTTCTAAGTTCAATTCAACTATTTTTTTATCATCAGTTGTTGAAAGTAGTATTTCATATTTTAAAAATTTATCAAATATATCTATTGTATTTTTTTGAACATTTACTCTCATATTCGCAAGATTTCTTTTATTTTTTAATTTTAATTAATTATTATTAAAATTATAACACCACTTGTACTTGCCGTCCAAAACAAAAATTGAATTTCATGAATTGGGCATAAATTACTAAATATGTACTTGTTTCACAGTATTTCAGGGGTCCGGGATTGGATTATTATACATGAGGTGTAATTGTTTTGCCAAAAACGTAATATTACGTAATACGTAATTACGAAATTAATTACGAATTAATTACGAGCATTGTAGACGAAATTAATTATGGGCGATGTAAAATCCATAAATTTTAATTAACACATTATACAACGGATAGTAGTTATTTTGCCAAAAACATAATATGTACCGCAAAATCTCGAAAGATAACGTCCCCGACATGGTATTAGTCGCGGGTCATTGCAGATCAAGTGTCATTCAATATAAACGTTACACGAATAAAATTATTATCGTCCACTTCAAAAAAAAAAAATCTCCGTTTTTCATATAGCAAGCGATTTTCAACCATAATAAAATTTTTAGAGCCAGATTGGGACTTTTTAACAATAGTTAAAAGAAAAGGCTAGCTTAAATATTGGTTATTCTACGCCAGGTCGGAAGTGTTTCTTTTCTTCACAATTATTTTAAGATTATCGCTCAACTAGTATGCAGACTAAAGCAAATTCAGCAGCAACAGTTGTGCCAAAGTGTTCCCTACAAAGTCGCTTATAACTACTTGGAAGGTTGTGTTAGAAAAATTTTGCTTTTAATTATAAGGGACTGATTTATAAGGTTATTAATTTATTTAGAATTTTAAAATTACATGGTCAAAATTTCAAAATAATAATAATAATAATAATAATAGTTAATTTATTTGATAATTATGAATACAAAGAATTAGAGAAACAATAATTAACAATAAAAAAAATTATTTATTAATGATAGACCTTTGGCACTGTACATCAAGCAAGGTTTAAATATTCGGAACAAAGCTCTAAAGGGTTGTGGTGGTAATGATGGTAATGGTGGTGGTGGTAGTGGTGGTGGTGGTGGGAATTTCAAAGAAAAATGATGTCATTTGAATACAAACCATCTTTTGCACACTTGATTCATGATTTCAATACAATTTCTAAATGTTTGGCATGTCACAGTTTTCCAAAAGCATCATTATCAGGACTCTGCTGTGAATTCTAAGATACTTTACTGTTACAGAAACTTGCACTTCGCAAACATAGGCGTAACCTATTGGTTATAAAATGCGGGGGAAATTATTAGCAGTAACAATATAATGAGAATGGTAAGTGGTAATGGAATAAAATTATTCTCTCTCGCAAAAACTATATACACTAATTTTTTTGTTCGCTGTGATCGACGTTACACATTCTATATATAAATAATAAAATCAAGATTTTAATATTAATATATATTATTAATGAACAAGAATATTTCGACTCTGGGATTTTAATTGACATGTATAACCAAACAGGTATTTTAGGTTCTATTAAAGAAAAAACTGTTACTGAACCAGCAATACCACCCTCCTCTTCTAATATCAATCAAACCCCAGAAAAAAATAACATCGGTTTTCCTAAACCTATTCATAGAAGTTTATTCAAGCAAAGATTGCATAATAAGAATAAGAATACTGTAAAGGAAACTCTAAATTCCACTACTACTAATGTAGACTTCACGTCAAATAAAAAAAATAATGATACAAAATTATTTGAAAAAGATTATTTTGAAATTGACAATGAAAACAATAAAACAATTGCTAATATGTCTGAGGATGAGATTTTAGAAACAATTGAAATGTTAAAAAAAACATTGAGACCAGGATTTATTGAAAAGATTACAAATAAAAAGCCTTTATTGGAACGAATACCATTAGAAGAAAATTATCAACATCAAAATCAACATAATGACAACAATAATGAGGATGAAAATTATGAGAAATCATATCAATTGGATCTTGCTGTGGCTGAAGATCTTAAAAAAAGAGAAAAACATGTCCATTTTGCAGAATCAATTGAGAATATCAAAGAAAGTAAATCTAGTGTCTTGATTAAGCAGGAAGACATTGGTGATGATGATTCAACACCAATTAAAATGAAAGAAAAATTTTTCTCAGATGTATCATTTGAATCTGAAAAATTAGAATGGATGGGTGTCAAGTTTAATAATATAAATAAGAGTGATGACGTTAAACAATCATCATCATCATCATCTACCAATTTAAAAACTAACAATCCAAGAGGAGGAGGGACTGCACCATACATTCCTACAAAAAATGATCCACATGCTGCATTCTTCAGATTTGATTTTTCTGGAAATATAATAGAAAAAAATATTGAAGTTCCAACTTACATGGGACTTCATCACCATGGAGATGAGCCTGATAGAGCTGGATACACTATATCTGAATTACTTCATTTGACAAGAAGTGTTGTACCAAGTCAAAAGATTATTCCTTTGAATATCATTGGTAGGATAATGAGAAAGGTAAGAAAGGGCCTTTATGGTTTTGAAAATAGCAAAGGAATAGCTGACTGGGTGATCAAAATGAAAATGCCTGTTTATTTGAGGGTTGCATTAGATGACAAAGCAGAGGCTGTTATAGTAGCTGCCATTGACACAATATCTGCTTGGGTTATTGGGTCTATAAAAGATCATTATGAAGAGGAGGAAAATTTATGGTATTGTTTTGGTAATTTGTATCGGGGATATGAATCATGCTCATTTTTGGAGAATAAGATAACTCAAACATCTAAAGAGTTTGGATATGAGATAACTTTACAACAAGATGATGATGATGAATTAAATAATAATGGTTCTGATGGTAACAATATGTTTGATAATCATGTTAACCTTGCAAAAAAAGATCTTGTTTCAGGATTAATATCTATGAACATTTTACAACGATTAAAATATCTTTTAGATGTTTTCAATTTACCACAAATCACAAATGATCAAATTTTACTTATGCTTGTTTGTTTTGCTCGACATTCTAGAATAACAGCAAATGCTATTTATAAAAGTCCTGAATTAGTGGATGTCATTCACAGGAAATTCATATGCTTATCTTGGCCTGTTGTTGTGAATGATGGTGACTCACCTTCATCAGATCATAAAAATCTTCCAAATTTATCAGCATTCAAGCTTTTACGTGCCTTATGTGTATCTTCAATTGAAATAAGTCGTAATATTAAAGAAAAATATGTTGGAACATTGTTAAGATATATGCTTATTGACCCATCAACTTTGTCAAATCAATTTGAGATAATAATTGGATATGATATTTTCTATGAAGTTCTTCGTATTTATCATACTTTGGTTGCATATGGACTTTATCACGAAATTTTTTCACAATTGTATACAGTATTTAGTGGTCATTTAATGAAAGAAGTATATTTACTTTCTGCATCATGGAGTAGTAGTAATAGTAGTAATACAAATTTATATATGACACAAAAGTTTAATATTGCAACTGCATTCTTTAGGTTATTAGAAGTATGGATGAGGAACCATGGACAACACCACTATCATGAACATCAAACTGGGGCTCAACCAAGTGAGTTTGTAAAGGATGCAACTGACTTTGTAGAAAGTTTAATTACAAGTTTTCCATTGATATCATCATCATCATCAACCGATGGCAATCATTGTGAAATATTCTCTGAGCACAAATTAGATTCAGCACATATGGAAAAAACTTTGATTTTATTATCAAGTATTGTTAGTTATATTGCATCTTGGTGTAAATATCTTTGTAGATATAAATTGAAAGATACTAGTGAAATCAAAAGAATTTGGGAAAAATTAAGGCTATTTTGTTTTACTTCCACCAATATTAACAAATACTTGAATCAAAAATTAAAATTTTCCATAAAAGAATTTCAAAATATAACAACATCTGATAAAGATGATAAACATGATAAATGGCAAATATCTAATTTACCAGGAATTTATTATCCAACAACTTTTGACTATTCCACGAAATTATTAAAAATATCAATATTTCTAGATTTATATTTATCTTTTGTGTCTTTAATAAATTATTCTACTAGATTATTTAAAGAAGACAAAGGGGATTTCACAAATGTTGCATTACAGTTATTAATTGGATCCATGGTACCAATTGATTTAATTCTTGAATTCACAATTAAAAAAAATCAAATTAAATCAAATTGGATTGATTTTTTCAGTAGAATGAATACATATTTACAATATGAATGGTCATGTAGTATTGATTTTCTTTTGGATTGTCCTCAAAACACGGTAGCAAGTAATCTTAAATATCAACATTCAATCAAATCATTACAGGTGAAATTAATTCTTATTGCTGATATTTTACCTGGTGATGAAATGTTGGCATTGGATACTCATAGAAAAATAATGGAAGTAATTATTAAGAATTCAAGTGATTCAGGTGAAACTGGAAAGATTGTAAAATTTCTTGACTCATTTTATAGGGATAGAATTGTTTCCAAGCTTTTAAAGAAAAACAAAGAATTTCAAAAAGATGGTGATGAACAAGAAGAAGAGAGTTTATTAATTGATGTTATTAATGAAAAGGGTAGTTTGCCATTGTTACAATCATATTTGTTTTCACCAATTGATATACTTTATTTCAAAAGTTCAGATTTGGTACTAGATCAAGAAGTCAAAAATGAGATTGTGAAAGGTTGCTTGAAACTCACATGTCAAATAAGGGATATCTTTAGTGGCAACAGTTTACCAATAAAGAATTATATAATTGAGCCACATTTTTTAGCATTATCATTGATGAAAATATTTTTATTAGAGGATGAAATATACAGAGATCCAAGTGTTGAGGTTTTAATAGAAGAATTGCTTGAGAAATTTACCCTGAAAAAAAGAATTGAAAATATTAGTAATGATGATATTGGTAGCAGTGGCAGTAGCAGTAATGATAGTAATTTATTAACTACATTTTATCAAACACTAGAACAAATAGAAATCAAATCATTATTAAAATCAACATTTTATCAATTCTATCAAGA